TCTGAATCTATTTGGTAAATTCAGCCTGTGTTTGTCAATATTTTAGGTGAATGTCCATTTTACATCATCTACCAGCGGAATCTTAAAATCACAATTAAATCTTGATCTCTTGTGGTTTTTTGAGGGGGAGAGTGTTGTGCTTTTTAAAGAAAGTCTCCACTTAATATACATCTACTAAATCACCATTATCTAAGTTATGGGAGTCCTGCCTGTAGATCACTTGCACTGGAAGCTGGACTCGAGCATCAAAAATATCCTTCTTGGTTTTTGGACCTATGACCTAAAAATGTTTTGTCCCTTAATCTGATCATAATAAAAATTCATAGGAGTAGGATAAGGTGAAGAGTGGTGCCAGTGAGATACACTCTTTCAAAGGGTAGATCACTGGAAGAAACATGTCAGAACATCTGTTTTTCAGAGGTTCTTAACTGAATATTGATTTTTATCTGAAAACCAAATTCTGCCTTTAGATGATGTATGTGCAACTGACTTCATGTGGCCTTTGGGCTGGAATAAGGAAAGTTTTTGTGTTACAGTGGTGGCTAGAGGGCTCGTGGCTCTACTGTGTAACATACACAGATTCAGCCTAAAATGCAGTCATTGCTCTGCAGGGCCTAGCATCTACAAACTTCAGGCAAGAAGTAGGAATTGAGCACAGATCTCCTGAATGGCAACCCAATAGCCTACCAACTAGCTCACAGTGTCCCAGTTTGATTTCTACTCCTTACCTTCATGGCAGCACAAAAAACATCACGAAGGCAAGCAGCTTTAATGGTCACATTGTCTTCAGTGCTAGACAAAATTGCAAAATACTGTGCTGATACACTGCATATGATGCACATAACTGAGAAAATACCTGAGTGAATAGTAACTGGTGTTAGTCATGCATGGGCAGAATATTAATCTTAGCACCTGTCACAATGGCATAGTTTTCTTGCCATAGTGATAACAGTAATTTCACTGATTCATCAGATTTAGGCTACTGGTACACATAAATCTGACCCTTGGGAAGCAATTAAAGACTACTTGTTTACTGGATGTACAGAGAATGAAAGATCAGGTCCAAGCTCTAATTGATTTTCCATTTCTTAATAGCAGTAGAAGGTTAAGTGCAGCAGTAGGGATGCTAAGCAACTTTAGAAAAAGGCTATAACCACCAGATGGAAACACCTGGAGGAAAAGTCAGTGAGATTTTTGGTCTTAAATTAGTCCAGCTCTTGTGATGATTTTATCCAGTTAGCTTGGCTTTTTTACCTTACTATGCACCAGTGGCTTGCAATACTAATTAAGCTAAGTAATTATTCAACAGAACAATTATTTAATTGCTGAATGTGAATATTAACAGCCGAAAAATAGTAGCTAAATAAATAAAAGTTGGTTTTCTGAATCCTAGTAGTTCCTCCAAAAACACATCGGCTAGGAGCCTGGACCAGTTTAACCTTATATGTGGTAATTTGTTCAATTTGTATACTTCTTCAAGTAGTCCCTGGTCGTTAATGTTTTTAGTTATAAAATCTGTGAAGCCGCAAAATAGAAATGCACTCAGTCCAAACAGAAATTTCTTATAATAATACCACTGCAGTAGTCAAAGAAACTATCGTTTTTGTAGAAGTCAAGAACCCAAAATATATTTGAAAGGTACATCGAGCTCAGGCCATGTGGGTTTGCTGAAGTACTTTTTACCATGCTCTTCAGACCAGTAAAATCAGCATGAAAGTGAGCAGAACAAACCTTCCATAGGAACAGAAAAAACAGTGCTTGTGCTTTCCACTTAAACTCTGCCTTTAGACACCCCAAACTCTCTCTTTTTAAGGCATTAGAAGTTTTGTTGTGCTTTTATCATGGGTAATTTACATCTCTAAATTTTAAAAATTTCTGCTGGAGGTGCTCCAACTAATAAATAATAATGGCACCATATACGTTAATTTACATCAGATATCTCTCTAGAACACCTCCCTTTCATTTAACTACTTTTGATAAGGCTTATCAGCAATTTCCTCTTCTTAAAGCCTTAAGGAAGTAAGATCATTTTGTTAATCTTTATCCTGTTACCCTTACTCTGTTTAGTTTTACACTATACAGCATAATTCTTCTGACATAATTAGCTTGCTTCCATGATGGAATAATGTGTCAAGGACACCAACTCCAAATATGCAGGGTGCCTTTGCTGCTGAGCACTGCTTGAATTCCACAGAGAAATGTGAACAGATAGGGTATTTTCAACTGAAGATAGCAACATAGCAAATAGCAATGTAGTGTTGTCATTTTGAGGTAAAAGGTAGCAATCTGTCATTATGATCAGAGTTATTTAAAGGCTGTTTTCAAATTAGCTTGGCAGTCACATATGCGTAAATATTTAATTTTTTTTTCCTAAGCACACATGAACCAGTTCCTTGAGTGAAAACAGAACATGTCTGATTGAATGTAGTTCTGTATAAAAATGATGGTTTCTTTCACAGGAAAAACATATCAAAACTAATGTATCTGATGGAACTCCAGCCTTGACAGATGTAGATAAATAAAAGTTGAAATGTAGTGCTAGCGTTTGTCACTGGAAACACAATGCAGAATTCAGGCCAAGGTGTATTATAAATTTAGCACAGTTTTAAAACTTGAGAAATTGTTCCAACCAAGTATAACACTTCTTTCCTTAGAAACTTCTGTGTTCTGCAACGCTCACATTGTCACTCTGGTATAGATACCAGAAAACTCTACCTACCTTCTGGGCCCAGCATCTGAACTTTTTACTGAGCTGTAGTCTTGTAGAAAATCAAAATGCATAGGGCCTATCCATTACTCCTTTGATAAAAACGTGCAATGAAATCAACACAGCTTTCTTGTCCATTTGCCTATTTCTCTTTCTTATTCACCACTCACTACTTGTATTCCACTTGCAGCAGCCCATGCTGGTTTTCCTAAGTTTAGCAGAGATTTTGCATGAGCAAAACAGACAGTATTTGATCCCAGACATTAAATTAAATTAGCAGTGTAGATTAACTGCTCTCAGATGAGTCGCATTCTACTTCCAGTAAGACTCTGCATCCAAACCCTGGATGTCTACTGCCCGGAGTAAATTATCTCAGTACAGCTTAGCTGCTGCTCATGTGATGGAGGAAAGACAATGGGCAGCTTCGTTCTCTTTTGGACAGATGCAGGTGAACACCCTGTTACATTCCCAACCTACATGAGCTGTTTCCTCCTTCCGTGATGTTACTCTTCCATGGAACCAAAGGACACTCAGTTCTCTGCATCCAGCAGAGAACACAAATGCTGCTCTACCTACAGACTGCAAAGGAGGGAGGGAGAGAGAGAAGATTTGTGTCTTCCCTGCCTCTCCCTCAGCCCAACTTTGTGCTCCAGCTAGATGCAAGGTGACCCTCAGAAGTTACATGTGTGGACTTAAAGATTACAAGACAGAAAGTGGATGGTCCCTTTTTTTTCTACTCCTGTATACGGAACTCTCATTGGCTTTCCTGGGTGCTCCCTCTATAGACTGATGAGCAACAGGTCAGAGGAGACAGAAAGGCTTTTTACCTGCCAACCCCAGAGTTCAGGATGTGTTGTTTCTCCTGCAGCAGTTGATGACACCCTAACACCTTAGCAGCACTGGAGCTGCATTCCTACGCTGTAACAGGGGAAGCAGGACCAAGGGCCTGAACTAAGGTCTTGGCAGGTAAGTGAAGGAGCAACCAGTATCAAACAGCTTCATTTGAAAGTGTATGTCTTTGTAATGTTTAAGTCTTAATATATGCTCTGCTTTACCTGGAAGCTTAAACTTCCAGTTTTCAGAATAGTATTTGAGATCACTTATTAAATCTGCCAAACACTTGAAAAAATGTTGAAGAAGCTCATAAATGCAGAGGGGCTAGAAGGAAAGGTTATTTGTGCTAAAAATGTCTCAAAGATGGGATTTCTTCTTAGAGCTGAGCAGAAGTTATTCAGTTTAGTAGGGGAGGGGGAAGCTTTATGCTACCAGCATTGCCACTTACGATGACCGAGAGCATCATTATATGGTGAATACTCAATATTCAAAATATGAGCTCTCTTGGGATTGGGAGGGGGGAATTTTTGGCTTGGTTGCTTGTTTTCTCTCAATTGGACACATAGGGAATACCTGATACAGGAAAATCTCCATCTCCTTACTGTGTTCCACTTCTTAAGCTTAATTACTGGAAACAGGATTACTATATGAATACTTACATCATTCAAAATATGTTTTATTTCAGTAGTCATCAGGAATTGTGATTTTGTTGGCTATACCATGCTCCAGAACATTTATAGAGAGCTCACACAGAGGAAGTCGCTACCACTAGAGCAAATCCGATTAAAAAGATATTGGCAGAAAAATTGATGCTAGTTACTAGCTCAAAAGAAGAAGAAGAACAACAACAAAAAAAATTAAACACATCCTTACATAAAGGAAGTTTTTGTTTTCCTTGCTTGTGGTAATATGAGGGTAATGGATGCCTTTCTGTTGAGAGGCCAGTAAGCTCTACTTTTTTGAATGAAAAATTTAGGTCAGAGGAGGAAATCATAAGGATCTGCCACATGTTGTATCTAAGCCATGTACTGCCACCGTATCCTGGAGAGAAAAAAGGGAACGTTCATAAAGAATGAACAGCTATCCAGAACTGGTGGGTCATCAAAGCCTCATCAATGTCCAATTCAGATATTCTTATCCCCCCTACCCTTACTGTTACTAATATTCTCAGTTTACTAAGTGAAATCACTCCAAAAGTGACCTCTAAGTTTGTGTTCATCTTTCAGTGGATAAACTGTAATCTTGTAAAAAATTACACATGCTAATAGCAACTGTTAATTAATATTCATCAACATTAAAGGGAAAAGTAATTATCAAAAATTTCTCTCCAAAATTTTAGGGGCAAGAGTGAAAAATTACATTTTATACAGGTTTATATCTTTTAAAAGTTTGCATTACTATAGTCATTGTTTTAAATTAACTTTCTCTAGACAAAATAAAGTGTTGTACTACATTGCAGCCTCACTGTTAGGAATGAAGATAGAGGAGATAATGCAGGAAGGCCAACACATACGACCAAAATGGAGAGTATCCAAGTCATAGAAGAATGGTAAGTTGATCAAACTGTTGTTTAGTAAATGTTTTTAATTTGCCTATAACTAATATCAAGAATTGCCTTTGGTTTTATGTTTCAGGAGTGTCATTTTAATTACTTTTCCTCCAAAAAATTCTATACAAAAGGAAGCAGAATCTGTCCTGGCAATGAAATGCCAGCAGAGACATTCATAAGTCAGGCTTACTTACAGTTTCTTATTTGTGGGGAGGAATGGGATATGCATGGATCGTTCCATAGACCTGTGGGTCTCTATAAGAAGCCTACCTGTGGGATCGTCTTCTTCTGTTTATCCAGACAAGAAAAAAAAAATAACGGGCACAAGTGTACTTCACAGTCAGATTTTTAACATGGCTACCTTTCATAAAACAGCTTGGACTATGGTTTCATTGGAATTAACCAAGGAAACACATACCTTGAAAAATGGGCTAACACACTCTGAAAGTCTGAGCTTCTATTTTGGTCTAAAGCTTGGGCCCACGTTTATTGTGTTAGAAAAATGCTAACCTATCAGTGGCCTTGAGTTCTCTAATCCCAGAAAAAGTAAATTAAAACTTAACTCTAGCGGATGTGATTGGTGGTAAAGGAACCCAAACAACTCATTGTCTTCATTCCTACTCATGGCCATTTATGAGAGGACAATGGCAGAAATTTCCACAAAACACTGCGGTGAAGAGGACTTCCCCACAGACAATGAGAGAGCACAGGTTGCATGTCAGCTCCATCCACCCCAGCTGGTTCTTTTCACTCTCCTCAGAGAGAGGACTTTTCACCTTCAAATCTGTATGTTTATACTTTTTGGTGCAGATTACAATTATTTTGCTGGATAGTTTAAATGTTGATCACTTTCTCACTGATTAGATCTTTTGGGCTGACAAAAAGCTATCACAAATAGGTTCCCATCAGTCTGCCTTGCATGCAGAGTACGAGTTGATAAATGGACTTGAAGAGAAATCATATAGACAAATGTCACTTATTGTGCAATATGATTACACAGAAGCTATTAACAATATCTAGTAAAGCTCTTCTGTTGGATCCTATCAGGAAAGGGTGGATAAGCGCTCAGAATTAAGTTTGAAACCATATTTAAATGTTGTTAAGTAACTTGGAGTATTACCTTCTCAAGCTATTCATTGGTACATTAATGGGTTAGTGACCCAAGTTAGTCTTCTGATCATTTATCCAATGCATCCACTATTACAAGCCATGAACTGTTTCCTTCAGAAAATGGGAATAAGGACCTTTCCCCATTTCTTCTCTCTCCAGTTTTGCCAGCAACATCCATCACATCTTGTGCCAACAGATCATCATTCAGGTCATTAGCACCAAACAGAGGGAAGCTTAGCAACCCTTAGGTACAAGCACAGAGAAATATGCTAATTTAAAAGCTCTCTGAATTACAATTTCGTTGGGCCTCATTAGTATGCTCTTGGCTGCCAAGAGCCTTTTGTTTTTCTTGTCTTTCCTGAACCAAATCATGTGGCAGCCAGTGACCAGCCAAACACCATCAGAAGCAGGCAGGGACATCAGGTGTCATCTAAACCCCTCATGAAAGAGAGTCTATTGCCAGCTCCCTGAAATCACATCTTTTACTGTAGAGGCAGGAATTCAATGCTGTTGTGGGATTTTGTCTTTCAGTCTGATGGTTAACAACGCTAGTAGAAAACTTGTAGAAAGCCAAGGGCATGTCTCATAACATGAAACACATTTAGCAGGCTATTGAGATAATGAATGCACAAGAGTGAACAAAATTCCCCAGTCACTACTGAAGCCTTGTTGCTTCCAGTTTTCACTGTGGACTAAAGTGCAGTTGAAAGGAGAATTTTTGGACAAATGTATGAAAACACTGTTACAGAAATGGAAGCATATTTGTAATGATACTTTGCTTTTGCAGCCAAAACCCTACTGCAGATGAGATTTTGTCTTGGGCTCAGAATTTTGACAAGATGATGAAAACACCAGCTGGGAGAAACCTTTTCAGAGAGTTTCTTCGAACAGAGTATAGTGAGGAGAACCTGCTTTTCTGGCTAGCATGTGAAGATCTAAAGAAGGAGCAGAACAAGAAAGTTATTGAAGAAAAAGCAAGACTTATATATGAAGATTACATTTCTATACTATCACCAAAAGAGGTAAAGCTGTAAACATTACATTTGCACTTTCTGTTATTCCAGAGCAGAAATGTTATACCCTAGATTGCCAGATGGGGGTCTGAAAGTCTGCCTGATCTGTCAGATGAAAGTCTTAGTATGGACATTAAATCAGGAAAGGAGGGGACAGAAAAAGTAGAGACACAGGTGCCGGGCCATTTAGCATCACTGGCCACACCACCTCAACGCTCTCTGTAAGACAAAAAACTCCAGTAAGAGAAGGCTGAGAAATAGGTATGCTTCTTCAGTAAAGCTACATGCCTGCCAGACAGAGGAAGTAAGTAATGCAAATGGATTTCTGGAGAAAAGGCACCAAAATGAAGGAATTTAAATCAGAATCATCATAGATCTATCTGCTGCAACAGCTGTCTGGGAGAAAATCCAAAGTTGCACTGGTTATTCCTATGTGAAAGTCCAGGAATGGAGACCATGTATTTTCTCTAATGAAAGGTACGATAATATCTAGGAAATATTATATAAGATTTTCTTCAACCCCTAAACTGAAATAGACAAGTTCTGAAATTATCTTCACCTGGAGTAAAAAAAAAAACCATCCCCTATCAAACCATGTTTTGAAATAGAGAGACATATAAATATATAAGGACTATAGAAGAGTCTTTCTTAGGCCATGTCATGTACCTTTAGCTCCTTTGACTTGTCTGTGTGCACTGCATCTGATTCTCTACTCATTTATGCTCACCGTGGACCTTGCTTCCTATGTTTTACTTCTGCACTGCATTCAGTAATAATTTGCAACTTCATTCATATGAATGAATCCAACAGCAATTTATAGCTCCATTGTCTTGTCTTGTGCCATAGTGTATACTTTTGCTTTGGAGTGAGATAACTGCCAGTACAGCAAGCTAGTAATGAGTTTTTCTTATAATACATCTCGAGTACATATATATGTGCTGACTGCTCAGTTGTCTTTTTAAGCTAAGATGGTTTCTTCTCCCAAGTAATTAATGACAGGACAAGAGGTTACGGCCTCAAGTTGCGCAAGGGGAGATTTAGATTGGATATTAGGAAAAAATTCTTTACTGAAGGAGTGGTTAGGCATTGGAACAGGCTGCCCAGGGAGGTGGTGGGGTCACTGTCCCTGGAGGTGTTCGAAAGACATACAGGTGTGGTGCTTTGGACATGGTTTAGTGGTGGGTTTGGTAGTGTTAGGATAATGGTTGGACCTGCTGATCTTAAAGGTCTTTTCCAACCAAAATGATTCTATGATTCTATGAACCAGCAGTTAAAATTCAAACACTAACTAAGTGTTGTTTGTCTTAGGGTTTAACAAAACTACTTACAAACTTGATGCACTGGACGTGTGGATGCCATCAATCCAGTTGCTCCTGCCCTTACTGGAAATCTTATGAGGCAAACAAGAACTGTTTGCAGTGCTTTAGATCAGCATGGGAGCTGAAAAGTTCTTGTTTATCCAGGCATCCCGTTCCGGATGTTCTCTTTTGGCATAAGAGCTGAAATATTCAGCATCACTTGTTCAGTGATGAAGTTATTGAGGCAAAAGGTCTCAGTGTTCTAAACAGATACCTTGTATTCATCTGTTTAGCAAGGAAATAACTTTAGTAATTCCAAGTGGTTTTGCCATCTGCCTTTAGTGAGTTGCTGAAAAACTACAATGCAAATTAATCGTTCCATAATTAATTTTTTTTTCATTCTATAAGTGCAATTAACTTTTACTATATTCAATGGCAAAAAAGCCCACCATCCTGCCAAACTTGAGCTTTTTATCCCAGTTACTATATTTGATAATGCAGAACCAATTAGCTAGCTGCACAAACTGTTTTTGCTAAGATACATGCGTGTGCATATGTGTAGGGGAGAATTGCTTAAATCTTAGTGTGTCATTTCTGTGCTACAGAGACAAAATGGTCTAGGGTGGAAATCTATTCAAATAAATTCCGAAGACACATGGCTGCACCACTGCTTCTCAAAACAACCTTAACACAACACCCCTGCATGCTGTTGTGTCTAAAAACAGGTAGTCACTGGCCGAGCAGCCCCA